AATCCTGGGAAAGTTTGAGCACCAGAGTAAGACGATGATTTATTTTTAAAAAATTAAAAAGACATTCTAATCGGTCTGTTTATGATCAAACCTACACTAAGTTATTTGTGATCAAAGTTACAAAATGATGAGAAAACACCAAATTTGATCTTGCTATTTAATTCTTTAGAAAGTTACTATTATATAGTATTAGTCGAGATTTTTGAAGCATCACGTTTGTTTGTTTGTTTGGTTTTGGTTTTTTTACTATTTTAAAAATTATTTTTGCTAATGAAGAAGGGGAAGCAAAGAGGAGTCAGGGTGGAACCCCTACAATGTGTTACATCATATTTTGCATCCACTAGCAATATCTGAGGCATACCTCACTGCTTTGGAGGGGCTCTCATTCGGCAACCCATGGAGCCTCAGCAGGCCTGTGGTAGAATTCACAGGGCCCATGAACTTGGGTGGGAAAGAAAGTTAACATCTTTATTTTGACCAAATTCTAATAAATGTATTTTTTATTATGAGTGAAGTATTCAGAACACAATAGTATTAGCAATATTTGTCACCATTAGAAACCAAATCTCTTCATATTATATTATAGTTGTGGCACATATCTTATATAATAAAAGCCTAATATGTTAAGCGTCAGTCATCTGGTCTCCGGTTCAACCACTGAAAGTGTAATCCTATCTAATAAAAAATAATATGCAAATTGACCATCACTCAAACACACAAGATGGCCACCCCCAAGTGGATACAAGATGAGCACCACAAGATGGTCAGGAGGGGAGGGCAGTTGTGAGTGATCAGGCCAGCAGGGGAGGACAGTTTGGGGGGACCCAGGCCTGCAGGGAAGGACAGTTGGAGGTAACCAGGCCTACAGGAGAGGGTAGTTGGGGGGAACCAGGGCAGCAGGGGAGGGCAATTAGGGGTGACAGGCTGGCAGGGGAGGGCAGTTAGGGGCAATCGGGCCGGCAGGGTAGCAGTTAGGTGTCAATCAGGCTGGCAGGCAGAAGCAGTTAGGGGCAATCAGACAGGCAGGCAGGTGAGCAGTTGGAAACTAGCAGTCCTGGACTGTGAGAGGAAAGACTGCCCATTTAAGCAGGCAGTTGGACATCCCTTGAGGGGTCCCAGATTGGAGAGAGTGCCGGCAGTGTTGATGGACACACCTTCCCTGTGCATGAATTTCATGTACCGGGTTTCTAGTATACTAATAATATGCTAAAGCCGCTCAACCACTTGCTATGACGTGCACTCACTACCTGTGGGCAGACAGTCGACTGATTGACCAGTTGCTATGTGTGCACTGACCACCAGGAGGCAGACGCTCCAACCAGTAGGTTAGCTTGGTGCTGGGGTCCAGCAGATCTGGACTGAGCAAGAGCGGCTGGACACGCCCTGGAGACCTCCTTGGGTCCCTCCCCAGCTGGCCAACTTCCCATGTCCTTCCCCGGTCTTGATCGTGCATCTTGATTGTGGCTTGGCCTGCACCCTCTCACAATCTGGGACCCTTTGGGGGATGTCAGAGAGCTGGTTTCAGCCAGATCCTGCTGAAAGCAGGAGCTCTCTTGCCCCTTGCCCCACTCCAGTGCACAAATTCCATACACCAGGCCTCTAGTCTGAATATATAGCTTATGTTTATCACTACTTTGAATTTATAGTAGTTACACCACCTCTAGCTCACAAGAGCCAATGCCTTAAATAACTACACACATTACTATATCACACATTTTCTTTTTATTTGGATAATCATACTTCAGTAAAATTGATTTTCTTTTAAATTCTGTTCATTGTGTTTCATGCATTTAAAAACATTTTTCAGAGCAAATTTTATCAGCTTCGGAGCTTGCCAAAGAGGTCCACTGCATATGAAAGGTTAATAACCCCTTGCTAAGATCATGTAGTTGTGGCAAAAGACCTCCACCTGGTGGCAGCATACTCCTGAAAGGTTAAATGTGTAATCAACTGTTGTGAAGGAATTTTTTAAAATAACAGTATATTTGAGTATGGTTTTCAAAGTTTTGACCACAGCCCACAGTTAGAAATGAGCTTTACATCATAACTCAGTACACTCCTACAGAAGTTTCACAAAACAATACTCCACTTTACCATGTGACCCATTGATATTTCTTAATCCATTTCAAGATTCTCTTTCACTAAAATGCCTGTTGCAACACACTGAACTGCAGTGCAGTAAGTCACACTGTGCCGTTTGACATTAGGGGAGATCAACTTCCATCATACCTCATGATTTATTACCCAGTGAACTTCACTTTGGTTTCCCCCAAAATACCCACACACTTTCAGGGACATAATACTTATATTTTAAATAACTGTTAACAAATATGAACATACTTTTACTCAGCATTTTAAAACATTGTTTATTATTGTTGTATTATTTCTATACAAGGGAAGGAACTGATCTTAGGCACATATGCTATCAAAATATTTCACATTCCCATCACCATATAAAGTTCTCTTGTGCCTGTTCTCAATTTCCACCTAGGCAGTCACTCTGATTTTTGTTTTGTTTTGTTTTTTAATGTATTTCATTATGTGTTTGTGTATATTTTATGGCAATCACTGTTCTGATTGCTTTGATCATACATTTAGTTTTGCTGTTCTAGAACTTTATATAAATGGAAGCCTACAATATATATTTTAGCCTGGCTTCTTTTGCTTAATATTATGTTTTAGAGATTAGTCCATGTTGAGTGTATCAGTAGTTTAGTTGAATGAATGAATATATCCATTGAATGAATCTACTCTTGTAGATAGACTTAGCTATTATGAATGACACTTCTGTGAGTATTTTCTTCCAAGTCTTTTTGTGTTCGCATGTTTTATCTCTCTTGGTGAATACACAGGATAGAATTGCTGGCTCAGTCAGTCAATAAATGTATGTTTATAGGAAACTAACCAACTATTTTCTAGTGTTGTTGGCCAGTTTACATTTCCCATAGCAATGTGTTAGAGTTTGGGTTGTTCCACATCATTAACAAGTTTTGGTATGTCAGTCTTTTTAATTGTAGTCATTCTCAGAGGTATATAGTTGTATTTCTTGGCGATTTTAATTTGCATTTGTCTTATGACTGATGTTGAACACTTTTCATGTGTTTATCAGCCATTTGTTTTTCTTATTTGTGGAGTGTTTGTTAAAGTTGGTGTTGTTTGTGGTTTTTTGTTTTTTTTTTTTGGTTGATTGGTTGGTTGAATTTGTAGGAGTCCATTACATATTTTATTTGCCCATCTTTTAAAAATCTTAAAAATATATTTTTATTGATTTTAGAGAGGGAGAGAAAGAAACATTGATTGGCTATCTCTTGCACACCCCCTACTGGGGATTGAGCCTATAAACCAGGGCATATGCCCTGACCAGGAATCGAACCAGCAACCTCTCAGTGCATGGGAGGATACTTAACTAACTGAGCCACAGGGGTCAGGGCATGAATACCCATCTTTTATGTCAGTTATATATATTTATATGTATTTATTTTTTCCAGTCTATGACACACATATTTCTTTTGTTAATGGTGTCTTTTGATGGCCAAAAGTTTTAAAATTTGACAAGTCTAATTGAACCCTTTTTGTTTTCTATATTTAATGCTTTCTGGGTCAGAGTCCTGTCTAGGAAATATTTTCTTACCCCAAAGTCAGGAAGATAGTTTGGTTTTTATGTTTGGGTCTGTGACCCATCTCAAATTAATTATTGTGTATGGTGTGAGGTAGGTGTCGTTTTATTTTTTCCATATTTGTAGTTGGTATTCTCACACCATTAATTGAAAATACTTTCTTTTCACCTATCACACAGCATTTAAAATAAAAAAAAATAAAACCTGTAAGCCAAAGAAGTACAAAAGTGTTCTTTTCTTGTGGGACATAAACAGACCCACTTGGGCCTCTTAGACTACCCTCTGCCTATATAGTCTTGGTCTTCAATTCCTTTCTAAGGTAGGCCTTCCACAGTTATCCTGAGACTCTCAGAAATTATTCCTAAGGTTGAGGATTTCTAAGGCTACAGCTCTTCACAGAGTCTGTAGCTATGTCACAGAGCTGCTAGCCACATGTGGCTGTCCAAAGTAAAGCCAAATAAAAGTTTTAAATTTAGCTTCTGGGTCACAATAACCAGATTTCAAGTGCTCAGTAGCCACCTATGGCTATTGGCTACCCTGTTAACCAATGCAGATACAATATTTCCATTTTTTTCACAAGTGCCACACAACACTAGCCTATCTATAATAATAAAAGTATAATTTGCTAATTAGACCAGCTGTCCTTCCCAGACGACCTTCTGGATTAAGCCGGTGCTGCAAGGGAAGCCCTTGTTGTGGGTGCCAGAGGGGAGCTGGTGCCAGCAGCAGGGGGTGAGGGGGAGAGGGGAAGGAAGGCATGCTCTTGTATGAATTTCATGCCTTGGGCCTCTAGTAGAATAAGAAAGAAGACAGGCCTTGTGCACAGTTGTAGGGTGTGAATGAAACCTCTGTAGTTTTGATAACTGTCATTCATCATCTGCCTTCCTCTCCTTGGTTCTTATCATCCATTTGGGCTTCTATTTCTATTCCAAGATTCATTGTCATTGCCAATCCTTTTGTCTGCCTAAAAATATAGGAGCTTACATATTTGTTCTCCCCTAGCTAGAAGAAAGAATTCTGCTGGCTGTCCACAGACTCATTCTTTCCTGGAGCCCACCTAATTCTGACCTATTTTACTTCTCAGTGTTTGAAAGTCTTCTAACTGCCACTGGATGCCTAGGCATCCCCCTCAAGGCGTGGCCCAGAGATAAATATGTTGTCTTTTCTATCCTGATTTAAAATGACACTTCTCCTTAGCATTCCTACCATAAATACTAAGCTTGCAAAGAGTAATAGGTTATGAGTGGTAGCCCTGCCCGCTCTGAACATTTCTGTCTACTAGTGTACTTGGTTGCTATTTCATGAGCAGCCACATAGGAATTTGTGTGGTTTCCTCTCATCGTTTGCTGGGTGTGTGCTGACTCTGCCATCACTGTCTTTCAGTGCGGGGATTTTGCTGTCCTGGTGGATCTTCACATCTCACCGCAAGGATCAAACAAAGACACCAGCTGGTTTTCTGAACAGAACAAAGAGGTACCACAAGACTTTTCACTATCTAAATGCAAGTAGCCATTGCTAGGAGAAATATTTAAGCTTTTATTTTAATTGGTGGGCGAGAATATTGAGTGATATTTTACCATGAAAAATAGGTGTTAACTTCCCAATGGCAGACATATGCTTGCTGTTTTATTTTCCTTCAGACACTGACACGTCCATACATTTCATCTGTTACTCTGTCATTTAATCCAGAAAGTTCCTACCTCTTTGTTCTGAGGGAAGGGTTACTCAGTATTACAAGAAGAAGTTAAAGTGACTATTGTAGGTAAGCAGGGGTTTTAATCTGACTGGTTATGCAGGATGGACCCAGCACCTGGAGCAGGTGTGGGGGCTCACACAAGGCTGATCTGTCACACCTGTGCGAAGTCCCGGTCTAGTGCACTTTTATCATCCACTATCCTCTTATTAGCATGAGCCTGTGACAACAAGTGCAGAGATGTTTAACAGTGTTCCTTCTCTCACCACACTCAGTCGCTAAGGGATGGTGAGGCAGAAAAGTGAATAGCTGTTTGGGAGCATGATTCTGACCTCCCTGGCCTCAGCCTCCTCATCTGCAATGAAAGGGTTTCACAGAGCTGTCTGAGTCACTCCAGGCTCTTATATGCTCCCCACCCAAGTGCTGCCTGAGAAGAGGGTCAGAAGGTGCATCAACTCTCCTCCCGTGCTGTGCTTCCTTCTTCAGATCCCTGGTTACTGGAGCCCAGACAACGAAGCAATCAATGGCCTTTAAGTAACTTTCAAATTATTACACAATTTGTGTAATGGTATTTATTTGTCACAAAGCTCCTTAGAGCTAGAAATAAAAGTAAGTTTGATTAAAAGATGGTGCCTGGAGAAGACACTAGTGCTAATCACACACACACACACACACACACACACACACACACACACACACACACACACACCTTTACTGTGATAACTTTTCAATTAGTTTTTGGAGATCACTAGGGGGGAAAAATCTCCCTAAAAGAACATTTTCAATCAAAAGATGATAAAATTATCAGGGGACTTTGCTGTCATAGTTTCATAATATGTAGTGGTCTGAAACTGGGAGAAGGAAGGCACCAGATCCTGAGTGATGGGATTTACCCTTCAGGTAAATAACTGTGCACTGTTCTCATCCAGACTAATATTTTAATATTTAGTAGGCCAGCATCTCCTATTACATCTCACCTTCATATAATTCCAAGCTTTGCATGTCCCCATGATTCAATTAAAAACAGTTCATTCACCAAAGTGACTGAGGGGACCTCCCCTAAAAGACTTCTGACTTGACATACATTAACAGCACTCTAGAATCCGTATTTCCCTCTATAATTCTCCCAACTTTACCACCTCAGCCTTAGACATTTCTGTTGATATTCAGTCAGTTTTGCCAAGAGTCAGTTTATTTGGAAGGCTTTAAAATAAAGCTGTGGGTATGTGAATCACCTCCTTGCCAAAGCGTGAGGCTAGATTTTTCCAGGGTGCCACATGCAGCTGTGCCACTCCTCCTAGTACCTACATCCGGGCAGCAGGGCATGACTTAGCAAAGATGCTCAGGGCACGATCGGACCTGCAGACCTTGCTGCAGTGGCAACTGCAAGAAGGCGAGTCACGCCAACAAGCCGGGCTTTGCTCCCAAAGTGAACTTCCTTTAAATTTCTTTAATGTGTGTTCCCTGACATTAAAAATTGCTCTGGGATAATGTGTGTGTGTGTGTGTGTGTGTGTGTGTGTGTGTGTGTGTGTGTGTGTCTGTAGAAAGAGAGAGAGACAGACGGACACAGACAAACATGGAGGGATGAAGGTGGTAGGGAGAAAAGCTAGTCAAGAAAAGGACCATATGGCTTCAGCCTATGTTCAGTGTCTCAGTGCTCTCATTTTTTTTTTTTTTATCATTAGGTCATCTATCTCATGCTTGAGATTTCATGAGCAATCAATTTGATTGCATTTTAACAGCCACTTTATATAGTAGAGGTTTTAAGAATATGCAGTTCCTTTTCAGAAAAAGGAGCTAGTTACATGTATTAAACATATGTTTATTTTGAGTCCGGCACAAGTAGTCTGTGTACCCAAACAGTTGAATTCAAACTGTTCTATGTGTAAACTTGAAAAAACAAACATGAGCCCCTGTTAGCCTAGAGATACACATGTAAGTTGGTCTTCTCATCTGCCCCTCCAATTTCACTGGGAATTTGTCTTCTCTTGCATTGCTCTGGTTCTGAAGAGAATGCTTTGCTAAGTGTGGTGTGGTCAGTTACTAGGGTATCTTGACTACATTGCACGTGGTCTACCTTCCATTCGTCAAACCTGACTCATCGAAGGAAAGCCCCGTAACTATAGGGAGAAAGTTTGTGTGTATGGCCTTTGCTTTATTTTTTGTCATGCTATTTTTAGTTCTAGCCTTATAGGGCATTTATGGCCAAATTTTAACAATCTTTATTTCCATGTATGTCTTTGACATATTTTCAGGCTCAGTCATCGTTGAACCCAGCATGTGAAGCAAAATTCTTTAATTGTTAAAACAACAGTATGAGGCAAGGCAGCCTTTCTGTTGTGTGAACAATGCCAAGACACTCAACTGTAAGCGGATATCTGTGTATTCCACAAGGCACTGCATCTTTGGATTGCAAAATGAGAGCAGGAGAGAGGAGACCAGTTTTGTATATTACCTAAAAACTCACATGTGTGAGTTAAATCTAGTGTTTTCTGTACTGTTTGAGAAGTACATGTGTTTACAATAAAAGTCAAGTTTGGCTCTCATTGCCCTTTGAAGCAACTTAAAACTTTGTTCTTATTTTAATTTATAAAGATTCTAAGAGATTAATCTGAGATGGCATTGCAAGAAACCAGTGGAACAGGTTTGAGGTGACCTCGGCAACTCTGAGCCTTCTTCAGAGTCTATAGGAATTGAACCAGAATCATCAGTCCTTATGCATCATGTCTTAATCTAAGAAATTTAGATTAGTTTGCATTTTTCCCTTTTCCTACATTAAATTATATTTTTCTGCTAGTATGGCTAATGTGGACAGTTTCTTCCCAGTGCATGGTTATACTTTTAAAGATTTGTTTTTCTTTTTTATAAATAACACCAGGTGCACGAAATTCATGCACTTCAGAGGAGAGGGGCTGTCCCTCAGCCTGGCCTGTGCCCTCTCACAGTCTGGGAGCCCTTGGGGAATGTCCTATTGCTGGCTTAGGCCTGCTCATCATAGTCGGACATCCTTAGTGGAGCCCAGTTTCTAGCTGAGCAGTGCTCCCCCTGTGGGAGCGTAAGGACCACCAAGGGCAGCTCCTGCATTGAGCATTTGCCCCCTGGTGGTCACTGTGCATCATAGTGACCGGTCATTCCGCCATTCAGTTGATTTGCATATTAGCCTTTTATTATATAGGATTGATACATAAAACAATAGACACCTATAGAAATTTGCTGTGGTAAGGTATATTGACATTGAATTAAAACCATGAGCTTCTGCTACCTAATATGAATCTACTTTAGAGAAATATGAAAAGTTAAATTATTTTAATCATTTATAGGTGAATGTATTGCAAATGAGTATATACAGTATCATCAACAAGAGTATGGAAGAAAATCAGATTATTGATTTCCAGTTCTCTATTCAATTCACTACTCAATGCCTTTCCCTTTTTTGGTAGATTTGTAAGCCTGAGGCTAGAAACTAATGAATGGCAGTGTTTAGATTTTAGGTTTTTGAACCACATTTGAAAAATGGAAAAATTTTATATAAAATAGAAGTTTCTGGTTCCTATTGAACAAATTGGAGGATCTGGTGCCTTGTATATATTCCCACTGTAAGCCCTGGGGGCTGCCCCGTTGAGTGGATTGGTGTCAGGGTTCCCTCTGAATATTCCCTGGCTCCTTCTGCTAGTCTTCTGTCTGGCCACAGTGAGCATTTGATTGGGGCTCACAGTGTCTCATTAGAACTGGTTGATATTTACATGAAAATAGTCTTCACCTCACTGATTTTATCACCTTGTCACTGTAGGTTTTTTTTTTTTTTTAATTGTTATAATTCATTTTAGAGAGGGGACAAGGGAAAGAAAGATAAACATCCATGTGAGAGAGATACATCAATTGGCTGCCTCTCTTGTGTGCCCCAACTGGGGATTGACTGCACAACCCTTCAGTATACTCCAACCAACCTAGCCACACCGACCAGGGCTCATACTCTAATTTTTACATTGAGGTGTTTTTATCTTCCTTTTAGAAATGTGAAACTAAGGAAAAGAAAAAGTAAATGAATTTCATAGATCACAGAATGGGCCGACAAACCGCAGTAGCAAATTTGCATCTCCAGTATTGTCTATGAGTATATAAAACATTCTTATCAGCATTCATAGCTCATTTAAAAAGCAAACAAAATGAAATGTTCACTGTTAACTTTTTAATGTGCATGATGTTGACTTTTTTGCATTGCATTAAATCAGAAAGTTATCTCTTAATTTTTAATTTTTCTATAGGAAATCTGTTTACTGTTAAAAGAAACCATTAATTCAAGAGTTAAAGAGTACTTGGAAGTTCGTAAACAGCACAGGCCGTCAAATACAGAATTCACAAGATCCAGTCCCTTGTCCTTAAAAGGTAGGCACAGAGCACTTTAATTTTGGATAAAATGTCTGCTTTGTAGAAATGACAATTATGTTTGACTCTGACTGTCATGTTAGTAAAGTGATACATTTAAAATATGTGTTCTAGTGAAGATGCTTTGTTTGGATAAAGAAAATTAGCCAAAAAGCCCTGAAGGGTTTTTAATGGTAGGCAAAATATATGAAAATAGAAAATAAAACATTCCCAGGGAAACTGTAAATTTCTAAAAGGGTATTTTTTTTAGAAGTAATCTTACAAATAGATTTACATTAATGCTGATTTGAAGCTTTGTGCTTTTTAAAATGTTTTTATATATGTCACCGCTTTCAGAGGTTCTCAACTAGGGTGAATTTTGCCTCAGGGGACATTTGGTAATGTCTGTAGACAGTTTTGGTTGTCATAACTGGGTGGGAGCGGTGACCTGGGAACTACTGGCATCTAATGGGTAGAGGCTAGGGATACCACTAAATACACTAAATATCCTATAATGCATAGAACACTCCCTCTCTTCCCCCTCAACTCCTCCCCGCCCCCCCCTCAATACATACACACACACAGCAAAGTCTTATGTGGCCCAGAACGTCAAGGGCACTAAGGTTGAAATATCATTACCCTATTTCCTAAAAACACTTTGAGATTGGTAATGTCTGAGTTATAGATGAAAAAGCTGAAGGTCTCCAAGATGAAGGGGCTTGCCCAAATAAAAGATCTTGTTATTGAGGACAGATTATCTTGTATATTTGGCACTTCCATCCTCTCTTCTCCTCCCAGTACATAGCCCAGAGTCTGTTACATAGATTCAGTAACATGATGAATGAGAGAATATTTGGGTGGCAAGTGGCAAAACCTGACCTCAGATCCAGTTCTTCTGACTCCCAGCCCACTTCTTTCCGGCCCGTCATTGTTGTGCTTTTAAGATTTTTACTAAGTCAGCATTTTATAGCACTCTTTCTGGTACAAGTACAGTCAGAGGACATTGCTGGAGTACTGTGAACTGGATTATACTACTGCACACATCTTTTTAGGAAAGGAATGGTGTTACATACCCCACCCCACGTTGAAGGGATAGTTGATCTTAAGTGTTTACCTGGCACAGCTCATAAGTAGGCAGACATTAAGTTTACCCAAACAACATTGTTTAGATGATACTTTCTGATTTTTCACTTAGAAGTAGTATAAATCTTGAGACAAGCCATAGGAGCTTGCAACTTTTGTAGCATTCTTTGCACTGAGCAGATGTGCTAGTCTCACTTGCTAACTGATACAAAAGGAAAAGGGACAGAGTGGTTTCAGGATATCCATCCCTGGTGTGGCAAGTGGCTTGGTCTGCTACCCATCCTTCCTCTCCTGCTGAGTGAAGAAAACTAAATACTCAGTTTCCCAGCCTCCCTCACACATAGGGAACACAGCTCTAGTCCCAAGATGAAAATCAAAACTTTTCTTGGGCTCATATGGGCAAGAAGTTTGTTTTTAAACAGAAAGGTGATCTTACTGTACAAACAGTATTATAACCTATTTTTCCATAATATAGAAGTCCTTTAAGACATGTATATCACCATTTTTAAAAACTTAGTTTTATTGTGGTAAACTATACATAGCATAAAATTTATCATTTTTACTATTTTTAAGTACATACAATACCAGTGTTTAGTGCATTCACATTATTGTGCAACTGTAACCACCATCCTTCTCTAGAACTTTCTCATCATTCTAAACTGAAACTCTTTACCCATTAAATGATAATCACTCATTAGTTCTTTCCCCAGTTCCTGGCAGCCACTATTCTACTAATCTATATATATTTGGTAACTACTAGTAAATAAATATATATTTAATATATAAATATACAGTCATGCACCACATAATGACATTTTGATCAACAGTGGACCACATATACATATCAGATGATGATCCATCTATAATATTATAATAAAAGGGTAATATGCTAATTAGACCAGACATCTTAGGGCATCCCTCTGGACATCCTTCCGGTCAAAGCCACAGTGGTGGGGGCTGAGGCAGAGGCTGTTAAGGGGTAATCAGGCCAGCAGGGGAGGGCATTTAGGGTCGACCAGGTTGGCAGGGGAGCAGTTAGGCATTGATCAGGCTGGCAGGGGCATAATTAGGGGGTGATCAGGCTGGCAGGCGGACAAGCAGTTGGGAGCCAGCAGTCCCAGATTATGAAAGGGATGTCCCACTTTCGGTTTAGGCCCAATCCCCCGTGGGGTCGCAGATTGGAGAGGGTTAGGCTGAGGGACACCCCCACTCCCCATGCACAAATTTCGTGCACCACGCCTCTAGTAAGATTATAATGGAGCTGAAAAATTCCTGTTGCTTGCTGGTGTCATAGCCACTAACCTCTAAATGTAACACATTACTCACTTGTTTGTAGTGATGATGGTGTAAATAAACCTACTGTGCTGCCAGTCATACAAAGGTAAAGCACATGTAGTTCTAGTAGCAGGCTATATCATGTTGTTTGTATAAGTACACCATAGTGTTCACACAATGACAGCATCACCTAAGGATACATTTCTCAAAATGTATCCCTGTCATTAGGCATTGCATGACTCTATATAATAATATGCATCACGTTTTGTTTACTCATTTGTCAGTGAAGTAGTTAGGTTGTTAGGTTGTTTCCATCTTTGACTATTGTGAATAATGTTGCTATGAACATTGGTATACAAATATTTGGTTGAGTCCTTGCTTTCTATTATTTGGGTATATACTACACCTGAAGTGGAATTGTTGGGTTATTCAGTAATTCTGTATTTGACTTTTTTGAGGAACTGCCATACTGTTTTTCATAGTGACCATTTTACCATTTTACATTCTTACCAACAGTGCACAAGGGTTCCAATTTCTCCACAACCTTGCTAATATATATTTTCTGATATTTTGATTATAGCCATCCAAATAGATATGAAGTGATAGCTCATTATGTTTTTGATTTGCATTTCCCTGATAAGGAGTGATGCTGAGAATCTCCTCATGTGCTTCTTGGCCATTTGTATATCTTCTGTGGAGAAATACCTGTGTATGACCTTTGCCCATTTTTTATTTTTATTTTTTAAATTTCTTTATTGATTAAGGTATTACATATGTGTCCTCATCCCTTCATTACCCCTCCCTCTTTCTCCCCCCCCCCCGCCACTCATGCGCTTACCTCCCTACCCTCCCCCCACACCCCAGTATTCATTTCCATTGGTTAGGCTTATATGCATACATACAAGTCTTTTGGCTGATCTCTCCTCCTTACCCCCACCCTTCCCTTCCTTCCCTCTGAGGTTTGACAGTCTGATCAATGCTTCTCTGTCTCTGGATCTGTCCCTGTTCATTAGTTTTTGTTGCTCATTATATTCCATAAATGAGTGAGATCATGTGGTATTTATCTTTCTCTGACTGGCTTATTTCACTTAGCAGAATACTCTCTAGTTCCCTCCATGCTATTGCAAATGGTAAGAATTCCTTCTTTTTCTCCACAGCATAATGTACCAGAGTTTTTTAATCCACTCATCTGCTGATGGGCACTTAGGCTGTTTCCAAATCTTAGCTATGGTGCATTGTGCTGCTATGAATATAGGGGTGCATAAATCCTTTCTGATTGGTGTTTCTAGCTTCTTGGGGTATATTCCAGACATAGGATCGCAGGGTCACATGGGAGTTCCATTTTTAATTTTTTGAGGAAACTCCATACTGTTTTCCACAGTGGCTGCATCAGTCTGCATTCCCACCAACAGAGCAGGAGAATTCCTTTTTCTCCGCTTCCTCACCAACACTTGTTTGTTGATTTGTTGATGATAGCCATTCTGACAGGTGTGAGATACATTTTTTGATTGGATTGTTTATCTTCCTTTTGTTGTTGTATGAGTTCCCTGTAAATGTTGGAGATTAAACCCTTATCGGTGATAACATTGTCATGTATGTTCTCCCATGCAGTGGGCTTTCTTGTTGCTTTGTTGATAGTTTCTTTTGCTGTGCAAAAGCTTTTTATTTTGATATAGTCCCATTTGTTTATTTTCTCTTTAGTTTTCATTGCCCTAGGAGCAGTATCAGTGAAGACATTGCTTAGGCATACATCTGGGATTGGGCTGCCTGTGGATTTCTCTAGTATTTTTATGGTTTCCTATCTTATGTTTAAGTCCTTTATCCATTTTGAATTTATTTTTGTGTATAGTGTAAATATATTTTATTGATTTCAGAGAAGAGAGAGGGAGAGAGATTGAAACATTAATGATGAGAGAGAATCATTTGATCGCCTATCTCTTGCACAGTTCCTACTGGGGATCAAGCTTGTAGCCCAGGCATGTGCCCTTGATCAGAATCCAACCAAGGACCCTTCAGTCCCTCGGCCGGCCGATGCTCTAACCACTGAGCAAAACTGGCCAGGGCTCCTTTGCTTTTTTTTTAATTGAGTTATTTGGTTTTGGTTTTTGTTTTCGAATTATATGAGTTCTTTATATAATCTAGATATTAATCTCTTAATTAGATACATGATTTGCAAATATTTTTCTTATTCTCTGGGTTGCCTTTTTATTCTCTCTCTTTTTAAAAAATCTAACTCTTTTTTTTGTTTTATTAATCCTCAAACGAGGATATTTTTTCATTGATTAAACATTGGGAGAGTAGAAGAGAGAAGGAAAGACAGAAACATCAATATGAGAGAAACACATTAGCTGGTTATCTCCCACAAGAGCCCGATCAGGGCCTGGGTCTGGGAGGTGCCTGCAACTGAGGTACGTGCAACTGAGGTGCCTGCAACTGAGGTACTGGAATTGAACCAGGGACCCTTTAGTCTACAGGCCAACACTTTATCCACTGCGACAAACCAACTCGGGTTGCCTTTTTATTCTCTTGATAGTGTCTTTTGACACACAAATGTTTTTAATTTTGATGTAGCCAATTTGTCTATTTCTTCTTTTGTTGCCTGTGGTTTTGATGTCATAGCCAAAAAATCATTGCTAAATCCAGTGTCATGAAGCTTCTTCCTA